AGAGAGAGAGAGAGAGAGAGAGAGAGAGAGATTACCTGAATCCTCTTGGTAGCTTTTCACACCTCTCGAACAAAGGGGATCGAGAAGAATGTGTCTGTCCGGTGTTCTTTGTGCGTCATCCTATTCACGTCGATAATAATTCCGTCCCCGGAAGCAGTCTGTTTCCGCGAAGAATATCGAAGAGTTTTCGCGCGCTGGCTTTCACCGACCGCAAGAAAACGCCCGCGAGATTATTGCCTTTCTTATACAAGGAACTTGGAATTTAAATGCAATAGAACGAGGTCGAGTGGCTTGTACATCGTAACGATGATTGAATTTCCAAGGAGAAGATTGCGAAGCAGTAGTATCGATCTCTTTTTTTTTTTCCATTAAAACGATGAAGACCATTAATTCGCGAAAGACCATTAATAACTCTATAGATAGAATGACAGAATAATGGGCTAACTAGTTTAGTGTTGCGTCTCATTTAAAACTCGTTTGAGGCGGATTGCTAGAAAATTCAAATGTTTTACTATTCCTGATGAAATCTCGGGCAGAAGCCTCGAATTGGAATATAAAAGAATCGTTGAGCATAGTTGAAAGACAGTGGAAGCATTGTCTCTAGATTTGCTTCTCTAGGTCACACGATGAATACATTCTATTTCCATTTTAACGGAGAATTCAAAAAAAAAAATCTAAGCTCCAAGTTGAAGAGAATTGAAAAGAATGTTGAAACGAAACTTTTTTGCTTTCGAAACAGCCAAGTGCTTCAGCTTGATTTTAAAAATCAATTTAAATTATCGATATATTCCCGCGTAAACTGTGTTTCAATTTTCCGCTGCCTATATCGTTCCGGCGAGGTAACGAACTATTAAAATTTCCTGCGAGATAGTTGTACGAGCACGCGCCCGCGTGCATTGCATCTACGTATATTTCAAACGAATACATAATTGCAAAGAATATGCAGTTTGGTTAGTAGTGCGGTTACACGAACGCGAAACGTGAGAGCGGAGAAGCTGGCAGTTCGTATTCGTTTCGATGGTGGGGAGGAATGAAGAGTAGGGGAAGATAGTGATGAGACTGGGAAGGGCTGATCGCCCCTATCGCCTCCCCACCATTCGTTGCCCCCTCCTGCGAGGAGATAATTTTAGAGTCGACAAAATAAAACAATGTTGCGGTTGCACATGTTCAGCGAGCAGCTGAGACCGAGAGTTGAACTCTGAAAATGCGAGATTTGAAACTTGCTGATTCAGTATACATAATTTAATATCCATCGTCGAAAACTATAATTTGGATTTTCAAATGATGTAAGTTCAACGATTTAGAAAATAAAGATAAAAATTATGTAACGAAAGATGTTTCAGTTTTTTAAGTAAACAAATTTATAACCGTAGTTATTTTTAACTTGCAATCACTGCGATAAAAGATAATGCGAAATTTCAAATGTATGGATATTATATTTTCGTATGATATAGAATTTTTAAGTGACATTAACGCAGCTAACGTCAAATACCATTTACGCTACGCTGGCATAATTTTGAACGATTCGTGTTTCAAAGTTTAATCAAGGTAGAAATAAATATATGAATAAATGAATATATACTAACACGTATATATTTAAGCTTATAGTAATTAATTTTCCGACGTTCACTAAAAATAATATGACGTTACAATAACGTCATCGGTTACGAACACTTAGAACTATACGATGATGTTGTCACGTCACCGGTCGTCATAGTGTTAATGGATCATAAATTTTATTACTTTCCAATCTACTTGATCTGAAATTACTCAACAGAAACACTATATATATATATAATTCAATAGAAATATCTTCCATGTCTAACCAAAGAGTACAGTCCCCATAATAAAAGTAGCAGGGAATCAACATACCGAAAACGAATTATTGGACAGGGAAGAAACGCCAGGTCATGCAGTTTCACTACATAAAAGAAGCAATATCGAAAAACCGCCATGCAATAGTCGTTACAAGAACGTTGATCGAGTCGAAAGAGGGACAGCTTGTTTTCATCCCGAGCAGAATTCGCGTGGGAGGGTGGTCGGAGAGGAATACCGTAGTGGGGATGACGTTTGCCCCTGTTTATTTCCCCACCATCTTCACCGCTGTTCCCGTCTCTGTCGCTCTACCCTCACCACGATGAGATTTCCCGAGCGTTCTAGTGGTACGAAGTAGGGAAGGTCCGTATCCAGTCGTCGTCGGAGTTTCTGATAGTGGGACCACGCGACTCCTGCCGTCTTATAGCCTCTTGCTTTTTATCAATGGAGAGCTCGTGTCACCGTCTTTCACGTTTACGTACGCACGCCTCGCGATTACGCTCAACGACGCACGCGCGATATCGTGAGGAGAAGAGAAACAGACATTCTGGACGCCTGGTTCCAAGGGAAATCAGCCCGGAATCCTGCCCGTCGCGTTCCTCGATGATGGATAGTTTCTCGCGACTCGAAGGAAAGTCGATGGAATAAAACAAGGCGGTCCAAAGGTCCACGGTGTGTGTGTGTCACTCCGATTGATCATACAGCTTCGCGCCTGGCTCCGATTTCTTCTATTCGATATATTGAATATATATATATATATATATATATATATCTATTGTATCTCACTATTGTATCTCACTCAAGTCAGAAAGAGAGAATTCGCCTGGGGGGGAAGGGGAGCTTGATGCGCAGCGTACGGAGAACAAAAACGAGACGGGATCTTTGTTTTCTGGTTTGTCAGTAAAAGAGCATTCAAGTCCAGGTCGAGCGGAGAAAGAAAAAGAGAACCGTTTGAGAAACTGAATCGCGGCTTGTACGGTTTGCTCGGCTGGTTCAGGCTGGCATTACTTCGATGGAGTTGGACAGTCTGCCTTGGCCGAGAAGAGTATCGTGGACGGCACAAATTTGATCTGCTTCGATCTTTGTCATTCCTTTGACGCTCTGGTTTCGTTACCAAAAAAAAAAAAGAAAGAAAGAAAGAAGAAGAGAAAAAGAAACCAATTGTGGTGAAAGTCGAGTAAACTTTGATCTTCTCGAGATTGTCCGTATTTTAAATCGACCTCCTTCGATGAGAGATATTGACGTTAGATCGAAATT